TTACCGCGTCCTGTGTGCAGGAGCCATGAGCATTGACTTAGGCCAGTATTCATAGGCTTGGTTTACATCGTACACTTGATACGCGTAAATACTAAATAGTAACTTTCTATTAGATAATCTTAATATCGACGATATATATAAACAACGGTATATTAAGCTGGTATAATACTCATCAACAAAACATACTGTATTGATTGAATATATCGCCGTTGATATGCATTGTCGATATTAAGATTATCTAATAGAAAGTTACTATTTAGTACGCGTATTTAATGCACGATGTAAACCAAGACATAGTCAGATCTTATATTTAAGACCGTCTTAAATTTATCTTCAGATATTATATGGATCATTTCATTGACTACGGAGTATCTGGAGATAAACTTAAGGCGGTATCCCAGTGAGAAATGACTCGTCGATCGACGTCGAAACGACATCGAATCGATGTCAATTTGACGATTTCGACGTCGATCGACAAGTCATTACTCACTGGGTATTCATAGTCCGATCTTATATTTAAGACACAGATATTTGTACTAAACTAAAATGCTAACAAGGGCTTCGAACGTGTGTCGCGTAAGGTTTCCGGTTGCATGCGAGAAAATGGCGGCAGTCCTGTGTGTGTGACGTTGGTGTGTGACGTGTGAGTACACAACGTACAATGTGAGTCAACGTGGTCATTAAATTACTGTCGTAAAACTAAAAATGCCAGCATCTTATTGTATCAAAAAATGTTGTAACAAAAAAATAAATGGTATTGGATGGTTATTTGCTCTGCTCATTTTCAACAAAAGAATTTTATGACTAAACGTAGCGAAAATATGTGGCGGTAGCGGCCATTTTCTCGCATGCACCGGAAACTCTATCGGACACAAGCCATTATATGCTTTTAGATAACCTGTTAATAATCTAGTTTAGTATCCAGACAGCACAAGATCTCCTCAGAATGTCCTAAGGATGTCCTGAAGACGAAGAAATGTCCTCAGGACTTTCTTAGGATATATTCTGTCCTCTAGACATGCTGTTAAGGTTTAGATATCTGTGATTTAAGATCATCTTTAATACTATCTTAAGATGTCATGAATCAATCACAAAGTCATATTCGTATCTTAAGACATTACTTAAGATGATCTTGAAATAAGATTGGACTATGAATACCAGCCTAAGTCTATGGGAATAGGGAATATTTAAAACAAGAAATAACGCTACTTCTCTGTTCTTCTATTCTGCGTTGATGAATTAGGTTTTATGTTGTCTGTTTCGTTTCTGCAACAGAAAGCACATTTAATTTAGTATTACACAAGACAATGCAGACATTAAGGAACTTGATGTCAAACAAGAGACTTTCCAGTTTTATTGGATTTCTAATTATAAATTTAAATCAGTGAAACTCACCTTCGCGCCAACTCTGCCAGATTTGAGCCGGATCCTCCAGGGCTGCGTTCCAAAACTCTACTTGACGGGTAAAGTAGTATTTAATTGACCAATAAAAACAAAGATAACTATATTTCTTTATCATAATTAGTCAATTAAATGTACTCTACCCACCGAGTAGAATTTTGGAACGCGGCCCAGCGCAGCATCCTCTTAGAGTGCTCGTCTCTGCAACAGAAAACAAATTTAATTTAGTATTAATTAGTTACATAACAATAGAGGCTTTAAAGAATTCGATTCGATGCAGAAAGTTCAATTTTAACAGTTTTCTAATCACGAATGCGAATCAATAAAGTTCACCTTCGAGCAGACTCAGCCAGGCCCGAGCCGAATTCTCCGGCACGGCATCCCCTAGGCATTGCATCCTCTAGAGCTACATGACTGCGTCTTCTCTATTAGATTTCTGTAACAAAAATTTAATTTTATTTAATATCAATTAATAACTTAATAAATTAGTATCAAATAGCTACACGCGACAGCAAGACGGTGAAAAGAAATTGTCGTAACGGCACGTTCGAGTTCCTTTCCAATACGTAATAAAAATAGTTAAATGTTAACTAAATAAAGAAATAATAATACTCGAATAATAAATGGATGATGATAATATTTGATCGGCATTAAGGAACTCGATCGCGACGTTTCTCTATCTAACAAGTAAAAAAGTAAATGAAATACGAGTAATTACCCGTTGCGGTAAAACCCACAACATCTGCTCGCGTGATAAGTACGCGTCTCAATTCGTGTTAATTATTGCCTTAATTGTGGTGAAGTCAAAATGCGGTATTAAAAATCGGCGCAAAATAATGTAAAAAATAATGCGGTAGCTCCCGATGTGCTTGTCTCGACGGTTGAGAGTGTATAGCATGACGCTCGCGCACGCGTGTTTACATGACCCGGCCGCGCGCTCCCCCAAGCGTCGCTCAGTCAGCGACACGAGCCGGCCGTTACGACGGTTCGTTTACCTAGCCTTTGCGGAGCCTAAAGTTTTTGTTAGAGCTGTTGTCCCGGTATTATAACAGCAATAAATAAATAATTAAATAATAACCGAATAAATTAAATAATAATCGAATAAAGAAGTAATAATACTCGAATATTAAATGATAGTGATAATAATATCTGCTCGATAATCATGTGATGATATCCGTGAGTGGATAATAACGGAATAACGACGATCAAATAATCGGTAATAACAGTGAATAACAATAACTGGGTAAAGGCAATAATAACTGATTAAATACGAGGTAAGGAAATCGTCACGCTCAAGTTACTTCCCAATACGCAATAAAAATAATTAAATGACAACCGAATAAAAAAATAATACTCGAATAATAAATAATGATGATAATATTTGATCGGCATTGAGAAACTCAATCACGACGTTTCTTTATCTAACAAGTAAAAAAGTAAATAAAACGTGGTAATTACCTGTCGCGGTAAAGCTCGCAATATCTGCTCGCGTGAGGAATACGCGATTTAATTTGTCTTAATTATCGCCTCAATTGTCGCGAAGTTGAAACGCGGTATTAAAAATCGGAACGGAATAATCTAGAAAATAATGCGACAGCTTCCGATGTGCTCGTCTCGACGGTTGAAAATGTATGACGCTCGAGCACGTGCTCGCGCACGCATGTTTACATGACGTGGCTGCGCGCCCAAACGCCACTCAGTCAGCGACATAAGCCGGCCGTTATGACGATCCGTTTACCTAGCCTTTGTAAAACATAGAGTTTTTTGTTAGAGCCGTTGCCCAGGTATTGTCATTACCGATTATTTGATCATCATTATTTCGTTATTATCCACTCGCAAATGTTATCATATAATTGTCAATCAGGTATTATCACTATCATTTATTATTCGAGAGAATTATTATATAATTGCTTTCCTATACGTAATAGCAATAATTAAATAATAACTAAATAAATTAAATAATAACTAAATAAAGAAGTAATAATACTCGAATAATTAATGTTAGTGGTAATAATATTTGCTCGGCAATCGTGTGATAATATCCACGAGAAAGACGAGATTGATGAGAGATGATCTAACTTTGCAATAAAACCGCCGCTAGCTCGCTTCGTGCCTACGGGTGCGTTCCGTTTCCACGCATGATGCGCATGAAACGCAGCGTTAGAATGATAGAGATACGAGAGTAAGATAAAATGAGAGGGAGAGCACTCGGGTAAGGTTCTCGAACCTAGGTTAGGTTAGTTCTCGAACGCATGAGAACGCATGGACTGCACTATCTCGGAGCTGAGACAGTCCATGAATTTGAGAACTAACCTAACTTAGGTTCGAGAATCTTACCCGAGTGCTCTCCCTCTCATTTTATCTTACTCTCGTATCTTTATCACTCTAACGCTGCGCTTCTTGCGCATCATGCGTGGAAACGGAACACACCCATTATTATCACCGCGAAAATGCGCCTAACGAACGTAGTAGAAGTGCACTTTGTTAGATGGCGTCTCGAAAATGCGACTAGCTCTGATCATTGAAATCAGGCCGGTGGCCGCTCTCTTGCTTCTCTCTGTATTAACCTTTCTGTTAGTTCAAAAATATCCGCTACAAGCCGCCACCATCTCCGTCTACATATGGGATCTGTTTTCTATTGCTGAACTGGCTGCACTAGTTCTCTCTTATCTTTCTTCCACCAAGTTTTATCTGTATACATATCTCTTTTTAAGTTCTGAAAGTGTAGACTTATCATGTTCAGCAATAGAAAACAGACTCAATAACTGCGTTCAGCAGAGAAAGCTGCTTTGCAACTGTGTAAAATTCGTGAATCTGATTGGTACATTCTCTTGGATTTAACCAAAATTAAGAGCATACTCCAATCATATTCACTCAATCAATTTTACAACAGTTGCAAAGCAGCTTTCTCTACTGAACACAGTTATTACCAGTAAAGAACTTGTTATTACACTTGAAGGTTTAAGGATGGCCGGTTTATGATGACTGTAATCCGTTAACTTATGCTGGAACCGTAAAAAATTGACCAATCATAGTCGAATTATAGAAGAATAATCGACTGTGATTAGTCAATTTTTTACGATTCCGGCATAAGTTAACGGATTACGATCATCATAAACCAGCCTTGGCTGCGTTCAGAAACTCTACTCAATGAGTAGAGTAACATATAATTAGCCAAACAGAGCAAAAGGAATTAAGATTTATTTATTATGATTAGTTTATTAAAGTAACTCTACCCATCGAGTAGGATTTTTTAACCCTTTAGAGCCCTAGCATAATGCCAGGCTATAGGCAATAAGAATAAGTATTAGCCAATAGGAACAAAGAATAGAAATAATTGACCAATCTGAATTCCTATTCCCTATTCCATTTGTCTGTTGCCTAGCATTCTGCGGGAGCGGTGCACTTGGACACGGTGCATTTGGACACAGCCAATCACAGCACCGTGTGATTAGAGACATTTGTAGGGTCCCTTGGAACAGCGACTTGTGATTGGACTGTGTCCAATTGCCCCATGTCCAACTGATATACACCCGCATTCTGCAAGATAGTTGCACTCGAATATGTCTTGAATAGCCCTCATTTTTCAAATAAGATGACTGAAAAATTGGCCAGACGAATATTTATCCAATATTACCACGACCAAATCGAGTGGATAGATCTTTATTTCTATCTATCAATGAGAAACAAAGATTCGTTTAATCTAATGTTATTGTACAGAGAAGTGAAAATTCAAACAGAAGAGAGTCTGAATTCAAATAAAGTGTGGAAGTTGGATATTGTTTATCCCTACTTTAAAAATGTCGAAAGTGCTGCCAAATGCGTAGCACGTGTATCCAGGTTCGAGTAACGTGATCACGCTAGGCGATGAACGATAACGAAGGGTTGACAATCGCATTAGTGTTTCGTCGATCGCGTATTTCGGTGTTAAAGCTTCGTAATCCAAAAGATATCACGATGCCGCGTTCATATTATCGGCTAAAAGTTAATCTGTCCAAGTTCTTTCACGATGTGCGCCGAGTTTGTTGGATTTTTATCGATCTGACGAAAATCCAACATATTATTCATGTTCAACAGCATATCAGTAAGATCTTTGGTATTAACGAACCGTTTCATCTATTGTTGAACGATACAGAGTATCTGCCGCCGATGGAGGATGTCCGTATTCTTCTGGAAAATGAGACGATCAAGTACGATTAAATTTCATCCAGAATTCTTGTCCTCGACTTAGTTCTTGATATATTGTTTTTTGTTCAAATTATTTTGCATGTACTCATTATTCTTATTTATACAGTGATGATATACAATGATCTAATAATTTAATAACTTACAGAGTAGTTCCTGGTTCTGGTATCCATAATGAATCTGCTACATTATCCAGTTTATCAAACATTGATAATTATAAACATTTTTCCAAGACAAAAACATGTAATGGCAGTGTACACAATAAAATTGCTCAAGCATCAGATGTTAAGATCGATAAACCAAGATTGATAAACTCTTGTAGTAGATTGGATATATCTAACAATGCTACGAATGGTTCAGATTTAGCTATGTCATGTTAGTGCATTTTATGTTATATTAAAAATCAGATATAATAGTGGTTTTTATGTTATAACATGACTAATAATGAATTATGTTTATTTTCAGTTGACAATACAGCAAATGGTGCAGAGTTGTTGATGGGAAATAATACAGCAGATATAATGTTTACTACTGCGATTGATGATACAGAGAGAAATATAAATTCAAAAGTTATAGACTACAGTAATTTAACTGAGCCTAGTGATACAACAGATTCTTCAACAAAGAGAAAACGAATTCGAAAACGTAAATCAAAAAATAATCATCACCAAAAAGATCAAATTGATAGCGAGCAAGATAGTCGACTTGAAATATCATCCTCAGATACAAAGGAAGAAGACAAATCAAAGAAACCTAGAATTGTTGATGATTATATTATTCCCACTAGAAAACATATAAGATTCAATGATATAGAAGAACATAATAATGTCTCAGGAGAAATATATGAAATATTTAATAATAACGTAAAATCTTATATGAATAAAGGGACATCCAGGAATCTGTCTACTCTATTAGCATTAAGACAAAGTTCCACTCCAATAACATTTACAAAAAAGGTAAAAGACACTAATAAGGTGGAAAATTCTTCAACTCCGATAATATCTGCAATAAAAGAAATCGATATGGAAAGCCCAACAGAGGAAAAGGCAAAATGTGTGAAAAACTTAAAGAAAATCAATAATGATACTAGTATAGAAAAGAATGTGTGCACTAAAGAAGATAACAAAAGAACACAATTTTACAAGAACTTGTTAAATGCAGAATTAGAAGACTTTCCTGTTATGTCTAGGAAGCCAAATGTTGGAGATATTATTGGCTTTAAGGTATATGCCCTTCACATATATTGTCTTTGCCATATATATTGTTTTAAATATTTTTAAATAGTATTCACCTTTTTTCACAGACTTTGAGACTCTCTAACGATTACACACCTCAAATATCCAATACTATTATAGGCGAGATATTAAGTTTCTGTGCAGATTCTGCAAACTATATTTTTAAGATAATCAGTAAGTAACAGTGCATATGTCCCACTGTATCTGTTTATAACAGATTTGGTTCAATGATACTGTAAAATTTAATACAAAGTAATATATTATTTTGTATTATTTACAGAAGGTTCAGAAGAAATTGAGGCACCATCTGGCAAATTTTCTCTTTTGGAGGAAGACGAATCTGTTTGTCAGGGCGATGATAAAATATCGTTTAATTTGTCGCAAATAATAGAACCTCGTCTGATTACATATAAAGCCTAATCTACAATATAACAGCATGCATATTTTCGTTTAGATGATTAAACAATTTATAATTTTTATTTTCGTTTATGATATGTGTAGATCTCATTCTACGATTGTATTATTACTTTTGTTCATTGCATTCCTGCCATCAAATATTTTTTTTCTTGTGTGTTTAATACACATATGTATGACAAATTTGCAACTAATTTTACATTTAAAACTATGTTCTTGACAATGAGACAATTACTGATAATGCATGCCAAGTTAAAAAGACTTTTGTACTTGGATTTATACTTGGATTAAATAAAATAATAGCTAAGTGTTTAGTATGTATAATATAAAAGATATTGAATTAATAAATAAATATTTATTTATTCATAATACATGTGTTATACAAATAATTTAAAATACTAAAGATTTTTAACAAAAAGTTTTGAAATCTGAAGTCGTAAAGAATTTTTGAACAAGTATTAGGATATTCAGTATCTCAGTGTTAGGATGGTACTGATTCAGTATCACTTCGAATATCTAAGCACTGTTATCAAGGTTAAAGTTTTAAGTTCATATTCAAAGTATCACAGGGACAACCAGGAGTTAGGATGCTCAATATCATTATCAGTTACTTTATCTTTTCAGCAACAAAAGATAGAGAAAAAGAAAGAGAAATGTCTTTTGAAAACTTTTAAATCATACATACAATGTAAAGAAGAATAACGAGTAATTATTTTATTTTTGTTATTACACACAATTATCATTTATTTGCATGTAGTATTTTACAGGGATTTTTTTATTATATTCTTATAGCAACTAACGACGATTCCATACCCATGCATGACGGCGAAGAGCTATATATGATCAAACTGCATCAAGGAGACAGCTGGATAGTAGAGTTCGACGTTTCTCCAGTTTCACCTAAGCAAAAGTGTTTTTGCTGAATTTCCTAATTGTCATTAATGATGACTGTAATATCTTAATTAATTCATTCGACAAATGTGAATTCATGGCTTCAATATTCATGGTATTCAATATTAATAGACGTAATAATGTTAAATTAATTAATGATACAATTTTCGATGTAACCTTTAAGAATTGACTTTAAAATGAATTTGTACAGATCACAATTTGAGAAAAAGGAGGATTTGAGAATAATACTAAGATTTTTCTCAATTGAAATGTATTTAATCTATGGTGTTTGACGTCTCCCAATTTGTTTGGTGCGCTTGTATGTGTGTGTATATGCATAATCTTGGAATTAAGACCACTTATATAAAAGCGGAAGATTGTATCGCAATCACTTAAATTAAATGATGATTAAAACAAAGAAGCAGATCTTGCTTACGAATGACCTACGTTTCTCGTTACTCGGACAGTCACGTCGGCGTGAGAGACGAGGAACGCTCGGAAGAAAAGCAACGAGAGCAACGTGCTCGTGATGTAATGCAAGCAGTTGATCTGATGAAGTTCCTTCGCGCGAGATAGCCCGCGCGCGTTCACACGCAGGCAATAGCTTACATCGTTGCATGATTTGAGTGACACTTGCCGTGGACATGCAAGGCGCGGAAACCAAGTATGAATTATCGTCTTATCTCCGCTACAATATGTCCCCACGACTGTTTGCGCCGAGCGAACAACGCCTTGTTTTGGTTACTCGGCCATGAATAATTCAGGAATTAAAGTGCGAGAGTAAATATACGCCCCCGGCGCTTGTTAGAGTTCGCCAACGAGATGTTGGCATAATGCGGGAGAACGATTTAGATTGTGTTGACCCCAAAAGTGTGTGAATTATTCATAGTTAAATAATTTAAACATTACGGTAAGTGTATAACGCGCGCCGCTATGCACGTGTGTATGTATGTGCGATATTATTCTTTTATGTCCCGAAAATACAAGTGCGATCCCGATAAACGTTTCTGGCACGCGTAGCAAATAGTCATATTATTATAATGTACGAAATATATTAATATTATGACATAGATTGCGTTAAATAATCACATGTATAATGCACTCTCACGATTTGGCGCGCTGAAGATTACGTAACCTTAAACACATACACAAGCATGTGACATTTTCACTACGTTTGACTTTTATTTGATGTAATGAAATGCACAGTCAAATTTGCGTATTCTCAATATTCTCATACAGAATATCTTTGCATTTATAATTTGTATTCTGTTCTTTGTAGCTGAACTGGCTGCACCAGCTTGCACTAGTTCTCTTTTTTCTCTTTTACAACAAGTCACAGCTGTATATATCTATTTTTTTTAAGTGTCCGAAAATGTGTACTAATTCAGTTATAAAGAACAAACTTTTATTCTAATCAGGTAATTCTTTGATCGTATATATGTGATCTATAAATTCATCATAAGATAATACGTAATTAATAAAGCAACCTTTTACTACGTCTTAAGACAAATTTAAAATGATTTTAATATTATCTCGTCCTATGAAAAATATAGCCAATATCGTATAACGAAATTAAATATAACTATTTTATTGGCTACATATTATCTAAGATATCTTCTAAGATAATATGCAGCCAATAAAACAGCTTTAAACATAGTGTTCCCTATTTCAACTCACTAAAGGATGCGCAATATTTGAACAACAACAACAACGCGTTTTTTAGCAGTGTACGAAGCAAGTAATGTTTTTTTAAATTCATTGTGTGTATGATTGTTGAGAAGGATTATATATTATGAACAGCAAGAGCATCTTGAAATTGTAAAAGGAATTACCGTAGTCTTCCTAAATTCGGTCAAGAGATACATTGCAACGCTTTTAAGCTGAAAGCATCATTCTATCTTAGGTTGCATTCTTTCAAAACGTCCTTTCCGAGGAAAATTTTACTCTTAAGTCTATGGTGTATGTAACATGAACTATAGATTTAAGAGTAAAATTTTCCTCGAAAAAGATGTTTTAAAATGCAACCTTAATTGCTAATTATGAGCTGAAAGAAGAAAAGAAGAAAGCTTACAAAACGAACATAACCTTGTGTGTCACGCTGCAGTGAACGCTGCGAAAGGCGTCGCGTGTTTTTCCAGGTTTTCCCAGATTCATTACCAAGTACATTTGTATGAAAATGATTACAACACTACGTGAGATTGTCACGAGTAGTGAGAGCATATCGAAATTGAAGCGATGATTCCAGCATTTTTCTCAGCTTTAGCCGATAGATACATTCTAACCTTACAATCTCGTATGATGGTACGATATATTTTGTTCACTCATAGTTTGTCGAAATCGAGTGTAACCTTTCCCTATCGTTATAAATAAATGCAAAAGTTATCTTCTGTTTTGCATCTGACAGAATTGGAGACAAAATGATGAAGGCAGTTCTGATGGATGGGACATGACAGCGACTTGCACCAAGCAGAATTGCCTGGAATGTAATTTCTAGATACTTCCCCAATTCCTTTATTTAATTTTTTCATGAAGTTAACAATCCGTGATCTGAATATTTTAATAATCAGCACTTGCAGAATGCATGGATGTACAATCAGTGCTGTCAGAACATGTGGTAAATAATAAAATCCTTTAACATGAAATATTATTATAACATAGATTATGATAAATAATCAAACAAATAATGTGAAATTGAAAAGGTGATTATTGCGTTCTTAGATTTAGCTAAGAGATACAACGTAAACTAATTTCACACTTATATATTTATATATTTTCTCTCACATTTGTCGAAATTGTGTATTACCTTTCTCTATCGTGTTATAATCAAATATAGGAAATATTTTGTTTCATATTTGACAATTGTCGATATTAATTATTGACTGCAGTTGCGTAAAAATAGTTGCGACGTTATGTAAATGCGATCATCATGCTGAGATTGTCACGAGCAGTAAGAGTATTTCGAAATTAAAGAGGTGATTCCCACATTCTTCTCGGAGATGTATTCTAACCTCACAATGTTATATCATGGTACGATTTTGTTCATTCATGACTTGTCGAAATTGAGTGCAACTTTTTTCTGTCGTTACAATTAAGCAGAAAAATTGTCTTCTGTTTTGGATCTGGCAGAATTGGAGACTAAATGACGAAAGCAGTTCTGCATGACGTTGACGGATGTGACTTGCATCGAGGAATGTCATTTCTAGACTTTCCCAATCCTTTCATTTAATCTTTTCATAAAGTTAACAATCCATCTGAATATCTTAATAATCAGTACCTGCAAAATGCATGAATATACATTCAATATTGCCTGTGGTAAATAATAAAATCTTATAATATGAAATATTGTTATTAGATATTAACGTAAAGTACAGTACATATTTAAACATATAATATAAAATTGAAAAGGTGATTATTACATTCTTAAATTTGGCTAATGGTTCTTGCCCACAGGATGCGGCAACACTTCGCCGCAGAAGTTTATCCGACAGCCAATCAATATGCTATTTTTTGAAATAATCTTGTAGCTCTCATAGAAAAACAACATATTGATTGGCTGTTGCGTGAACTTCCGCCGCGCGGCAAACGTTGTCGCGTCCTGTGGGCGGGAGCCATAAGAGATACATCCTAACTTAACATAATTTCATATTTTCATATATTTGTATATTTCCTTACTCTCGTACTTGTCAAAACCGAGTGTAACTTTTCTCTATCATGTGTATGAATGTAAATAAGCGGGGAAATTATTTTCTGTCTCAGATCTGGCAGAATTTGAGACTGCATAATAAAGGCAGCTACATTTTCGATGAATAGACTGTGACGCTGTGCGATTTGTAAAAAGCAAAATCGCTTTGATAGTAAGTTTTAGACATCTCAAATCCCTTTATTTAAATCTGTCATAATATTAGTAATCCGGGATTAAAGTATTTTATAAAGTATTTAATCAGTAACTATAAAATATACGGATGTACAATTAAAGTTATTGGAACGCGTATCAAATAATAAAATCTTGTAATGTAACGTACTTCATGATACAGATAGTACGGTGAATATTCAAACGAACAATACATATAATGTAAACATCGTTATGCCCGCGATCCGTTACACTTTAACATCCAATGGCTTGGTTTACATTGTGCACTTGATATACGTACTAAATAGTAACTTTCTATTAGATAATCTTAATATCGATGATATATATAAACAATAGTATATTAAATTGATATAATATTCATCAACAACACATATTGTATTGTATTGATTGAATGCGTCGCCGTTGATATGTATTGTTGATATTAAGATTATCTAATAGAAAGTTACTATTTAGTATGCGTATCAAATACACGATGTAAACTAAGCTAATGAACAACAAAGAATGGGCGCATTCAGTAGAAAAAGCGCTCAGTGAGCAATCAACGATTA